TTTCGATTAAACAAAATTGGAGTTGCTGCTGACATAAGGGAGATGTTTTCCCAAATTAAAATCCGACCGAAACAGTGATACAGATGAACCTATTCAACACTATGCCATGACATCTTTAATATTTGGAGCAGCGTGCTCACCATATTGTGCCGAGTATATAAAGAATTTGAATGCCGAAGAATTTCGTTACAAATTTCCCAAGGCTGTGGACGCTATCCTTAATCATCATTACGTCGACGCTTTGGTTATGAGTTTTGGCTCAGAATTGGAAGCCCTTGAGATTTGTAAACAAATTGTACACATACACCAAAAGGGTGGATTCGGTTTTAGGTATGTACTGGAACACCAACAAGGATGTTTTTCAGTTTGAAACAAAGTTTCACCGAATTCCAAATGTGGTAATGAGAGGCCTCAGGGTCCCGTCAAAGAGAGAATTGCTTGGAATAGGGATGGCCGTTTTTGATCCATTTGGGCTGATTGCTGACTTTCACATATATTCCAAAATAATCATACAAAAAACATGGCACTACCGGTTGGAATGGGATGATATGCTACCTCCAGAACTTCAAAAGGAATGGTATCACTGGTGGTCGGAACTACAGAATATGTCAAAGTTTCACATTCCTCGTTGCTATTCAATAAATATGAGCGAAAGCCCTCAATTACACGTCTTCGTTGATGCTAGCCAAACTGCATTTGCAGCGGTGGCGTATATTCGTATAACATATGTAAAGTTAATAAAAGTAGCCTTCGTAATGGGAAAAACTCATCTTGCGCCAACCAAGCTTATTTCTATTCCACGGCTGGAGCTGCAGGCTGCAATTCTGGATGTACGTCTTTACACTCTTATTCAAAAATACCACAATCTGTCGATAAGCAAAACAACGTTTTGGAGTGATAAAACAAAACAGCATTGGATTCACTCTAAACAACGGAAGTTTAAGCCATTCGTCGCTCATAGGATTGCAGAAATCATCGCCACAACAAGTCCGCCACAATGGAAGTGGGTACCCACCGCAGAAAATACTGCCGACATAGCAACCCGCCAAGCTGATAAGCTACAATTCTTCTCTGAAGGACCATGAATATCTGGACCAGCATTTAATAAAAAGCCAGAGGACTGCTGGCCACAACTTGATGTAAAGTCACCAATAGAACCAATCGATGAAGAAATTGTCGCATATTCCATCATACGTCTTTCGGGTCGACTTGCCATTTAATGCGCGAAATCACATAGTCTCAAAACTGGTGATGCGCCACTTTCACGAAAAGTTCCATCACCAAAACAATGCCGTAATCATAAACGAATGTCGACAAAGATTTTGGATACCGAACGCTAAATCCCTATTGAAGAAAGTACAACGTCAATGCGCTCAGTGCATTATAGATCGAAGCAAGCCGAGAACGCCGTTGATGGGTCAACTACCAGAAGATAGACCATTTACTCATACAGGAGTTGATCTTTTTGGTCCAATTAACGTTGCCATAGGTCGTCGCCGTGAGAAACGGTGGGTCGTCATATTTACTTGCCTGACTATTCGAGCAACGCACCTTGAAATATCCGAGAACCTGTCCGCAGATGCCCTCATAATTTGCCTACGAAACTTCGTAAACCGCAGAGGAATGCCCGACGTAATAAGGAGTGATAATGGCACAAACTTTATTGGAGCCCAGAAAGAATTAGCTGCGGAAAGTCGCCTCTTCGATGTTGAAGATGTTGTGGACCAAACAGCACGACGTGGCATCAAGTGGCTTTTCAACTGTCCCCTACATCCTATTACCGGAGGTATTTGGGAACGCCTTATTCGAATGTTAGAATCTTATGAATATTTGAATTTAACCGACTTATTATTTGCCATTAATAATTTGTTGAATTGGGTCACACTGAAGTATGAAATACCCGCCTAGAATTTAAGTTTGTCATTGTCTTTGTAATTGCTGAAACGAACAGACGCGAAAGAAATACAAAATTGAAACGAATTTATAATTGGAAATGAGAAGTGTTTTTATTGCCACCGCCGAAATTGCCACACTAGATAAATGTAGGATGTTGTTTGAAATTACAGTTTGACTTTTGTGTCATTTATGAAGTTTACTATTGAGTTATATTCTTGAACCGACTCATGCTTAAAGAAAGAGTGTAGATTGTTATATTTGGTTAGCGATGGGACGCGTTGTCGATTTGTATTATGTTTCAAATATGATGTGTGATGCGCTATCGGGAACGCCGCAGCTGTTACATTTGTAATCGTCGATAACATGCATTTTTGAAAGAGTGACTTTATCGAATGTGTACCCACTAAGCAGTCTGTTTATTAGTTTTATATTGTTTGAGTTAAAATTGCAGCTCTTATTTTGGAACCACGGTTTTCCAAGCGTGGTCGGAAAAAGAGCGCAGTATCCTCTGTTTTTCTCTGCCACGAATCTGGCGTACTCTAGTTCCCATTCGTCATGTATTAGACTGTACATGGTACGCACTGCATCCTTTAAGCTCCATTTTAGCACCATGAAGGTGCCGTCTGTTGTTGCTCTTTTGGCTGCCGTGTCCACGGCGGTATTTTACGGGAATACCCACATGTCCCGGTATGAAATGTAACTCTAGAGCTAAAACACTGGAACAGTTATTAAATTTTCTTTTTATGTTGTTTGCTATGGAATTGTTATGAGAATGATTTATTAGTGTTTGCACGCTGCCTCTGCTGTCCGTTAATATTGCCACATGGGAAATTCTCAACCAGATGGCATGATCAACCGCCTTTTCAATTGCAATAAGCTCTGAGGAGAGAGACGAGAGGATTTTGTTTGTAAAGAAACTATCTACAAACTCTGATTCTTCCTGCAAAAAAGCAGAGCTTGAGTGCTATTTAAATATTCTGCTTATTGCATTCAAACTTCGATATTTTGATGGTATCGGTGGCTTCAAATATCGAAAGTTTTACTCTAGCAAATTGAGATGAGAATTGTCAGTGCTTTTTGATCGTGGCTCATCGCTGCACGGCATTGACACGAGTGCCGAGTTTCATATTCCGAGTTTGTGCGTGACCGTATTGACTCAATATGGCACGAAAAGACTCAAATGTGAATTTAAAATTAGGATATACCCTTATAATTATTCCCCTTTTTTGCACATAGTCTATCTTAAAACGTTGCGTTATCTCTATATATAAAACAGTTTGTCCTGACTAATTGGTGATCAACGCACAGCCCAAACGGTAGAAGATGAAATTTGGACTCAAGTATCCTTTCATAGTATCCATCATAGTGTAGGAGCACACTAATAAAGGCTTTTGGAAAATTCTAGCTCCAAAGGGAGGAAAACGAGCTTTAAAAAATATTAGTTATAGTGGTCATGTTCGTTTAACGAACAATTTTTTGTCAAGAACAGAAAATGTTCATTTAAATACCTTAAATGCCTTCCTACTGGTAACTTACTTATAAGGTGAAAACATATGGGTAGGTTATGCACACACAAAATAAATACAATTGGAATCATTATATTGAGCCGGATTAAGACGGGCAATACCTGCTAGTATTAAATATTTACATGTTAGTTAATACACTAAATAAGGTAATATTAAGTGGGGAACATTGATTTGACTTAATTTCAAACACTTATAAATAGTAATTAAAATGTTATGCATTTTTGAAATTAAGTCATTTCAAGTCGACTCAAAGGTCCTATTAATTTACGACCCCATTAAAATGTGTATGGCCTCCACGTGGTGTTCCCTGGATACCGATGTAATATGTTTGCTCATATACAATATTACATCGGTAACAAATTTGAGCGGCGAATTAAAAAAAAACAATATATATTAAATTATCAAAAGATGTAGTATATACATACATATAAACATATATGTATTTTTATTTATTTAATTACACTTGTTTTACAAATTTTACCACATTTTGCGACCCTTAAATGTACTTATTTTCATATTAAATATCGGCTAATTTGCCAACCGACATTTTTACCAAGAACATAAATAAAATAAAATATTTTTAATTTAATATTTTTAAATTAATTTGATTTAAATGCCAACTGACATTTTTACCAAATATTTTGAAATTAATATGCAAGTCAAACAAAAATAAGAAATAGTCTATAAACAAAATTGCTTGTGCATAAATAAAAGTTGAGGCAGGTCATGACAATGTCAAGGCTACTGCCACGCGTTCATATATGAAGTGGCCGCATATGAACACAACATTTGCACACATACATATGTATGTAATTGTATGTATGTGTGCTTTTATAGGCATTATGAGAAACCCATACACTATTGACAAACTTCACTTGCATACGCATCCCAAAATACAATGCGACAGAAATATGGCAACAGTGTATGAAATTCTGATGCCCATGTGGCAGGTAAAATCTGAAAACGAAATTGAAGCTGCTGCTCGCAAACAGCAAAAGACCAAATGCACAAATACATATAAGCATATACATGTATATATGTGCACGCACACATACAAAGAGCATAAGCGGCGTGAACCGACCGTCTCTGTTGACTGTCTCTCTGCGAATGAAATGAAATTCGCTCACAGAGAGCACGAATGCGACAGCTCCCAGTCGGCTCGGAATATCCTGCATCTCTACAGATTTGGAGGGCTATAATTATTCACACTTGGAAACTGACATTTTGGTTCTGTGTCTATTAATAACAATAAATTAATGTCTTTTAACAATAATTCCATTTTCTTATTACAAAAATATTTTACATATATATTTTACATTTGTTCTTCACGCAAAAACTGTATTGTTTAATGGCCTCAAACTTCGCGAATAATGAATTATTTGGTTTGGCGATAAAATTCTTCTTAGTTTTTTGAGTACTCCTTACTTAAACAATATAAATACTCAATATATGAAAATTTAACGAAAAATATCGATTTTGATAATAGGAATGATGATGAAACATATTCTATAAACTAATGATTACAAATATATATATATCGATATTTAATTATTTCGATTTCTTAGCATCAACCCTAATTGGTGCATCTTCAAAAAGAAAAGAAATTCACGTCATCCACGCCGTCTTGTTAGAAAGTTTGTAAGTTTTTCAAAATCTTTGTAATGTATTGTATCTGGCTGTGTTCAAATTTTAATGAATTGATTGTTTTCTTGCGGCAGAATTTGTTTCTGTTTTCACCCGGCAAAAATTCTTTTATCACGCCGAATCTCAGATTGAGTGTGTGTGCATGCGATTATACTTGTGTGCTGGCATGTGTCGATGCAAAATGGAATACATACGTATATGTATGCATGAGTGAATGTGTACTGGTTGTCAATTGGTTGTTCATTACGTGAAATGCAGTTTATACTTACATACATATGTTCACATAAGTGGCATTTTCAAGTCTGACCATTTTTACATGATTTATTTGTTTTAGAAAAGACATTTACAACATACGAAGCGTACTTGACGCCCATCGGCAATTTGCAGCGGTAATCTGCAGCAAATTACGTCGATTACCGCCTCTACAAGAGTTTTTGCAACGCGTCCAATTTATCAGATACTCAAAGTCTCAATTAGAGACAATTGGCCCCGTTGGGAACCAGAACGGACGGTATTTGAAAAAACTGCAACATTTGCACTGTTCCTTTGGACAACTGAGGTACGTATATACATACAAACATACATAGATATGTATACAAACATGCATATGTATATAAATATATATATGTATATATATATAGCTTGTAACGAAATTATTCGAAACAAAATTAAAATTATTATTATTAAATCATTGTTGAAAATGTCAATAAAAAGTTTGTTAACTCGACATAATCTAAGTATATTTTTGCTAAAATACACAAATTTTGGTTGCTTTATTTACTTGCAGTAAGTTCAACAATAAAATTGCTGTTTTCTATTATTTAAAATCTGAATCATCTCTAGAAGTCGAAACGGCATTTAAAAGTCAAGATCCTTCTCAGGAACAAAAAGTCGACAACCCATTAGCGGACATGACATTACCAAGTGCCGCTCGCGTTTACACAGACGTCAACGCGCACAAACCGGATGAGTACTGGGATTACGAAAATTATGTAGTTGATTGGGGCAACCAGGACGACTACCAGTTAGTGCGGAAGTTGGGGCGCGGCAAGTACTCAGAGGTGTTTGAAGCCATCAACATCACAACCACGGAAAAGTGCGTCGTTAAAATATTAAAACCTGTTAAAAAGAAGAAGATAAAACGCGAGATCAAGATTTTGGAGAACTTGCGTGGGGGCACTAACATCATTACATTGCTGGCCGTCGTCAAAGACCCTGTTTCTCGTACACCAGCTCTGATATTCGAGCACGTAAACAACACGGACTTCAAACAACTATATCAGACGCTAACAGATTACGAAATTCGTTACTACCTTTTTGAGCTACTTAAAGCGTTGGACTACTGCCACAGCATGGGTATAATGCATCGGGACGTGAAGCCTCACAATGTTATGATTGATCATGAAAATCGTAAGCTACGCCTTATTGACTGGGGACTTGCTGAGTTTTATCACCCAGGACAGGAGTATAATGTGCGTGTGGCATCTCGCTACTTTAAGGGTCCCGAACTTCTTGTCGACTACCAAATGTACGATTATTCGTTAGACATGTGGTCTTTGGGCTGTATGCTCGCCTCAATGATTTTTCGCAAGGAACCATTCTTTCATGGTCATGACAACTACGATCAACTAGTGCGCATCGCCAAGGTGCTGGGAACCGAAGAACTATACGCCTATCTTGATAAGTACAATATTGACCTAGATCCACGGTTCCACGACATTTTACAGCGTCATTCCCGCAAGAGATGGGAAAGATTTGTTCACTCGGACAACCAACATTTGGTGTCCCCAGAAGCATTGGATTTTCTAGATAAACTTCTGCGTTATGATCACGTCGACCGTCTCACGGCTCGCGAGGCCATGGCGCACCCGTATTTTCTGCCTATTGTAAACGGACAGATGAATCCCAATAATCAGCAATAATGGTAGGTTTCTTTATCAAAGCAGAACTGCAGAGTATAAACAAATATTCAAAATGCGATAACCGAAGCTAGGTGCAAAGATCAGCATCTTAAAAACAAATTTAAACTTGGACCTTATTAACATCTACGTTTTCAGCGGGGCATGTCTTAGAGGTTGTGCTCACAGCCAAGAATATTGCGTGATCTTTTTTTTACCACCACGCCTACAAATATTTAAATAATACAAAATAATAGTATAAAAAGCAGAGTGAAAAGAGAAAGACTTCATTACTAAACACGCCTAGCAAAACTGTTGTTAAGAGAAAACCCCGACATTTTGAAGCAGATTAAATAAAATGCAAACAATTTAAATACAAATATGAAAACAGCAAAATATTTCTGTACGAACAAATAAACAATGGCAAAACTTCACTTATCAACGTATATTTATATATAGATACGAGTATTACTCAATAAAATATTTTCAGTTCTTGTAGAAAACTATTAAAATATATGCAGCGCAGCGCTAATTGTAAATTTCACATCAGAAAAAATCAAAGCTCGGTTTAAGAAAAAGCTAGAAAACTACATATTGATTTTCTTTCAGACAAAGACTTAAGGACAACACAATTTGGTGGAATCGCCATTATTCAATTTTATTTTAATTAATGGTAACCGCTAATATTTTGAATTTTCTTTCATGTAACCCAGGAACTTAATATTTACGAAGAAAAATAATAATAAAAAAAAAAATTTAACAAAAGCTAGACTGAGAATGTAAACTAAATCTAGATCAGCGGTGGGCACGAAATTGCAAATCGAGAGCCCTACAACAACATCTACAGCAAAAATCACCGGTAGACTTCTGCGTAAATTCTACTGAAAATCGAACAACGGCACACGAATTATGAGTATCTTGTTTTTGCATAAATCTGCTTGTGCGCCTGTCTGGCAAAAACTACATGTATTTTGTTTTTGTAAGTTCGCTCGCGATCGATCTTTTCCTTGTGCGACTGGCTGGCGCCACTTACCAAAACATAACGGAAAGAGCCACAACGTGCCCATCGCTGATCTAGATACATTAATAACAAGAAGTTGTTTTTGTAGCATGTCATATTTTAATGTATACATACTACTTATATGCATGTGTTCATATACGTCAAACAAGTTAGTCCAGTCTTTTAACGATATTGAGAATGTAATAAATATATTGTTTCAGATTTCTATAGTATAGAACTCGGAAGATAGAAGTGTTAGGAAAACGTTCTAACAGATAAATATGAATTGAAACAAAATAAGTATATATATCTAACGCAGAATTTCTAAAAGCATTTTTTTGACATTAATAACCGTCATACTAGTAGGCAGTTGGCGATTGATAAAATATTGCAAACTAGGTGAAGAAGGCATTGGGCGCATTCACCATGGACAACAGATCACTGATCAGTCCCTGCTGAATGGACTGATCATGATCACCAAATTTAGTTAAGATGATCAATAAAAAGGTATCATAAAACAAGTGGAGAAGCTTAAGTTCGACTTTGAAATACTCTGTACATATGTGATGAATAATTATGCGTGTTTGTGTGTGCCTGTGCAAGCAGTAAATACAAAAGAAGTGGGCACTGCTTGGTCATATATTCATATATGGCTATAACTTCCTGTTAAATCGGGCTATCATTATGAAACTTGGCATACGGACTTATAATCACTAACTGGAGTTATGGAAAATTAGTGATTGCTAGGGAGGGGGGAGGGAGAGAAATTCCAAAATACACATTTTCTCCGTATTCACATAAGACATCTGGAACTAAAATTTGGTGTCCCTAGCTCTTATAGTCTCTGAGATATAGGCGATTATACGAATGGAAAATCGGAAAACCCCATATGGTGGAAGTGGGGGGAAATAAAAAAAATAAAACAAACTTGCACACCGTGCACACAAAAGGCATATTTGTGCAAAATTTGGTGTCTCGATTGACTCGTCACGCTGATCAAGAATATACGTATATACTTTGTGGGGTCTGCCACGCCTCCTTCTGCCTGTTACCTTTTTCAGCTCGTGCAAACCTAATATACTCTTGTACATTTGATGTACAGAGTATAAATAGAGTGGTACATTTGTGATCAATTTTAAGCAGCTGCTCAGTCATGTGTATGTAATTGGTTGTGCATTGGGAAGAGCGTGCAGTTGAATTTATTTTAAATGAAGTTAATTGTTTCCGCTGCCTACGTTTTGGCCATATGGCCAAGCACTGCAAGGGGAGCGCACGGTGCCGCAAGTGCGGAAAAGAGCACAGATCCATATGCACAGATATTGCCTGTGCCAATTGAAAAGAAGGACATTTGGCAACACCACCAAATTGCTCTGCCAGACAAGAGGAATATACCATCCAAAAGTACATGGCTTTGGAAAATCTGTCCAGGCAGGAGGTAAAGATGAAATTCCCGTCTTTCTTCAAGAGGACGGTGCCTGACCTAACAGATCAGGAAGAATTTCCTCATTTAAAAAGGCCAGATCGTAGCTCAGTCACGCGCACTTACGACAGTCAGGAAGTGGCAAGGGGGGTGCATACCATCACACCATATGCAAGAGTTGCCAGGTTTTCGGAACGGGCACTCCAGTTCCGACAAAATGAAAAAGAGAGAAAGTTGTTGTCTGTGAAAGATGTGTTTCTTGAGCTCTGTGTTTTTTATTACTTTTTGCCTTTTAAAGCAGCTTTTAATTTGTAACACCATCACACCATATGCAAGAGTTGCCAGGTTTTCGGAACGGGCACTCCAGTTCCGACAAAATGAAAAAAGAGAGAGGGTTGTTGTCTGTGAAAGACGTGTTTTTCTTGAGCTCTGTGTTTTTTATTACTTTTGCCTTTTAAAGCAGCTTTTAATTTGTAATTATTGTTTTACACTGTACAGTTTATGTCTATTTGGCCCGTATTGTTTAGTGGTTGTGCATTTAACAGGTATTTATTTTATAATTTTTATAGTGTCGGCGTCAGTGCATTGCATTTTGTTTTTGCAATTATTTTGCTTTTAAGCAGCTCCCTTTGCGTGCATAAGGGTTGTGTGAGTGTTCGCGGCAGCCCTCTCATTGTGCACTTTGCTCTCACTCAGCTTTCTGTTGTTGTTTGTGTTTGCTGTTTTTCGCATTACCTAAAAGCTCATCTTAGTGCCGCTCAGTTTCTTTGCTCAATTTTTGCTTACAGCATTCTTCTTAAGCTTTGCGCCAACTACGTTATTTAGGTCATTCATCCTTATATTTATTCTGTCCACAATGTTTTGCTGCAACAAGTCTTGCACAGTTAAAGATGCAATTGATTATAATCAATTTCGGTTTGTTAACTGTTGGTTGTGCGAGAACTTAATGCATATTAAATGTGCAGGATTAAGTGGGCGTGACCTCGACAAAGTTTACTCACCTAAAAAAGGCTGTGGTGGTTTGAGGTGGTCATGCCCTGTATGCATTGACATCCAATTTAATTTCTCACGTATGTATAATAATGTGCGAAATAAATTTTTAAAATTGCAAAAGTTAACTAAGCAACTTTCAACTGAGTTCGACTCTGGAGAACAGTTGCTCAGTCAATATAAGTTTGTCTCTCCGCCCAAACGTAGTTTAGAGCCTCAATTTCTTGAGGTACCGCCTTGCTCGGCGCCGTCAACCTCAATACGCCTAAGTTCTGCAGTAGATCTTGATCTATCGCCAACAATATCGTTGTCTGCTTCCCCTGGAAATATGTTTGAAATTTCCCCTGTGCCTTCTCCTGCTCAGGTCACCTTAGCCCCTTTGATTGAACCTCCTGCAGTAAGCAAGATAGTAATGACCTCGAAAGCTTCCTCCATACAATTTTCTGCAATTTCCCCCGCAGTCTCATCACGTGCTGCAGATTGTGCGTCAGTTGCTGCTCTTTTGTATAGAGATTATCTTCCGATACCACTTGTGAATCTATAGCAGCCTATATTGCCAGTAAATCGACGGCTAGTGTATCTATTTCGAAGTTCAGTTTTGCTGAGCCCTGTGAAATAGCCTCGTTCAAAATAAGTGTTCCGCCAGAGGCTTTTACAATTATTTGTGACCCAAAATTTTGGCCTCCACATATGATTGTCCATGAGCTTAGGCAGAAAAAACGAGTTTCGTCACTGCCTGTTGATTTACAGTCTAGTACTCTTTCTTCGAAACCAACGTCAAGTATGGCTTCAAAAAACTAGACTCGCGACCTTTTCCGCTTAATATTCTGTATCAGAATGTTAGGGGTCATTTTTCCAAGCTCGGGAATTTATTTCTTAGTAGTTTTTCTTTTGATTCTAATATTATTGCGTTTTCAGAAACGTGGTTAAATCCTTCGATTTCTGATAATGAAATTTTATCAGGTGACTTTTGTATTTTTCGTCATGATCGTCCGAGTCGTCGAGGTGGAGGGGTACTGATTGCAGTCAAATCCAACCTCCGGTCGGAAATCATTGATGGTGATGTGCCAAATGATGTTGAATTTGTTGCTGTTAAAGTAACTTTTCCGTCTTGCTCTTTATATCACTTGCTCGTATATACATCCCTCTTCCAATATTCAAGTTTATATGCAACATATAACTTGTATTAATGCAATTTCCACTCATCTCCGTGGTGCCCTCAGCAGAACATGAATTTTTGGATTGCCTGTTGGACCTTTCTTTGTTTCAAATTAATTCTATACCTAATCACCTCAGCAAAATGCTTGATCTCGTCTATGTCACTGACCCTAGTAGCGCTGTAGTCTCTAGGTCTTAACCCCTGTCAGTGCCTGAAGATACTTACCACCCTACTTTAGAAATCTCCCTATCATTTTCAAATCACACCTTTATTCCTACACTTAATTCTAGTAAAACACGTCGTTGCTTTCGCAAAGGAAATTTTTCTTTGCTTAACGAACTTATTTTAGCAACTAATTGGTCCTTTTTGTATAGCCGTCAAGTTTTTCTATGACACTATTAATGCTCTTTTCGATGTCTGTATCCAAAATAATGTCATATCGTCTGCGTCATCAAAACCTCCTTGGTTTTCACCAAGACTTTCAAACTTAAAAAATGTTAAATCTAGATGCTTTAAAAAGTATAAGCAGTCGGGCCTATCTCTTGACTTCTATAAATACTCTATAGCGAAATCGAATTTTGTTCTTCTTAATTCACTATGTTACAATAATTACCTTGCCCGATGCAAGATGCAATTTGCACAGGACCCTAAACAATTCGATAAGTTCGTTAACTCTAACCGTAAATCTGCTTCTCTACCTTCATCATTTTTCCTTGGTGACAAAAAAGCCAGCAACGATTCTGAAGCTGCTGACTTGTTTGCCAACTTCTTCTAGTCAACTTATTCCTCTGTCTCTATTAGAAGTACCTCTTATCCTTATAGCATTTCATCTTCCCCACTATTTACGCTCCCATAATTACTGATAGCTGTCTACTTT